ATTCAGACACGAGTTAAGGCTGAAGCTTCCTCCCGTGGTCGATAGCTGAATTCCTACAGCTTGCAAGTACTTGGAGATTTCATCTCCAGCAAGCGGCTGGAATTTGTCATGAAGCTCCCAGCTCAGCACAAGGTGCATACACAGCAACTGCAGAAAGCTCTTTTGCTGCAGATAACAAAGCTGCTGCACTTTCTAAGTTATCTGCGAGTATAAATCTTATACTTAAGGGGGACTTAACATTCAATTATTTTTCTTAGCAGTAATGCAAGTTTAAGCCACAATAGSCTCAAGTCTATAGGGATGCATAAGCATAAAGAGACACACATAAGCAGATGCTGTCTTTGCAAGTCACACCACAGCCGAACAGACTGAGGACGGAGCAAGAACCATTTGGAAGCTGTTTATAGGTCTTAATTTTAGAAGCTATATTCGTTCCAATACAACAAAAACAACACTGTTCAAATCATCAGAAAACACATAGCTCAGGAGGCAACCATTCTCTGACAATTAATCCTAGCCAGCTGTTAGTACCGCAGAAAAAGAAAGTGCAAGTATAAAAATGACAAACCCCACAGCGTACCCAAGTTGCATATCAGAAGGGATCATTTGATAGGATATATTCGTACCTTAACATATAAGGCACCAATAGAGCAAGCTAGATCCCCTGCATCATTTCTTAGTCCATTCTGGGGAGCATGCCAACCTGAAACATGGAATACAGCCGTCACACCCCAGGTCACACTTTAAAGCACATTATCTGGGAGTTACACCTGAGGGCTTACAGTGATAGATAAGAGAACCCAAACGATGAACTCTGGGTTAAATATGGAGGAGCTTTCCTCCATATTCATCACTTTGAAAGTTTACTTAAAACTCCTAACACACCTCATCTCACATCTAGTCAGGTGATACCTCTGGGTCCTTTCTAACAGCCTCCAAAATCTTGACATTTTACAAAGAAGCTTTTCCAGAAAACTACAAAGTTGAAGGGGCTGTGAATGACACACAAGCATCTGACTAGCACAGAATAATCTACATCTTCTATAAGAACGTGACAACACAAACAGCAATTACACTTACTACTGTCTCAACAGTAACAGAATACCCTTCTCAACTGATTTCATCTCCTGTATAAGGCTGAACAATACAACTGCAAGTTACAATATTAGCAAAAAACTTCTCTTCACCAGATACTAAGAGTTCACATTAAACTGCTTTTAGAACAGCCACTAAACTGCTAGCTGAACACTTAAGTAGAACTGCTAATGTTACATTCAACTACAGAAAATAGCATCTACAGACRCTAAAGTAATTAGAACACACTCAAGTTCTATATTCAAGGTATTTAAAAATAACTGCTCATTTATTCATATATGTGGTCAATGGAAGTATAATCAAATTAGCTGTTAAAAATGCTTTAGTTATCCAAATGACTAGAAAAAARCATTCATGTCTGCTTGTTTTTGCTTCCTTAAAAGCCTGCCTTGCTCTCTGCCTGGAAGGGCAAGGAAATTCCCACCTCTCCTCCATGGGGAGCCCACAGCAGCATGTAATGCAGACCTGGTGTTCGGGGGGCACCCCATGCACATGCGCAGCCTGCAGCCCCTAAACATCTCGGGCCTCCGTGGTCTTGTGCGGTTTTTCCCCAAGATTTCATCACTTTTGTTCCAAGGTCAGCTGGCACCTGYAATCCCAGCTCCAGCCCTGCTACCACCACCAGCAGGCAGCCAGCTTTCTACCACACTAGGCCCTCCTTACTGAAGGTCCAGGAGCATATTTCAAAGCACTCAGACATCCAAAGCAGCATCACCTGGCTATCTTATCACAACATGAAGGCTATGAAACCCAAAGCAAGACAGGCTAGGGCAGCAAGCTGACTGACATGGAGCGCTTTGAAGAGGATGAAAGAAACAGGAAGGGAGGATTTTGCAACAGCTCATCCAGACAACCAGCAACCGCTGCAGAAAGACATACTTCATGCCACAATTCCAGCTTTSAAAGCTCAGCAGTGGCTTTTGACAGGTTACAACACCATGGACAAACACAATTTCCATTCCATAACAACTTGCTTAAAAAAAAAAAAATCTACAAATCTAGTGGTGTCAAAAAAAAAAAAGAAAAAGACACAGACATTTACTAAGCCAAATGCGACAGTGTCCTAGTGAAGAACAGCAGTTCACCTACTGGATTTGAACTGTTTGCAGGGGCCACCAGACTGAGTTTGACCTCAGGGGTATTCTACAGTCCACCCATGTTCTGAAACAAGAAATAAACAGTGAAATAAAATATGGCTTAATCAAAAATACTTTAGTTAATATGATAATTCAACTGATGGATTGCTTCATGTATAAACGTCAGCTGTAACCTAGGCTCCAATAAGGCTTCCAAATATAAAGCTACAAAGGTAGCACAAGCCCTGCAAAAGGTGTGAGACAGACCAAGAAGCAGTAACAGCAGCTTGTACTAGAAGATTAACAGTGGAGATCAGGTATCACTTTAGTGACYAGTCTTGTTTCCATCGATGATGGCAACAAAAAGCAATTGCTGAAGTTTACAAGTCTCCAAACCAGGAGGCAGTATCCATAGAAGAACACAAGAATATCAATATAAGAAATGTATGATTTTGTACCAAAGCTGCAGAGAGATAATGTTTGGTTAAGGAGAACACACAGTCTCCTGTGCTTGACTCAAGTTCTGCTACCAGCCGAGATGCTATGAGGTGGGAGCAACTCAGACCCAGATGCTGCTGCTAGCTGCAAGGTGCCTGCCCAAGAGCTTTGTAACCATGATGGAAACAGGCCCTGCCAAGGAAGAACCTCCCACCCCCCAGAAAAGCACAGGCACAACTAGATAGGAATCTGCCATTTAGAAAGTCAGGGTTGATGTCAGTGTTACAATTAAAATTAAACCATCTTCTAACAGAAGAATGTGGCAAATATTCCTCTGGACACAAGCTAACCATCGTAGWCAGTGCATGATCCATTAAGAGACCATTACAGACAATATCTCCATTTAAAAACCTCAAGACTTTGCTCTCCTGCTTTAAGGCTCCAATATGCAGTACACTGCTAAGTATTTCAGTTGCCTACACAGGTGGAACAAGCTCTAAAACCTCATCTGCTGGGCACAGCAGCTCTCAGCTTGTGGGTCARTAATAACCCTTGAGAGTTGCAGGGTCAGACATTAAACTGTTTTCAACAGCTTCTACAGAAGTRTGCTGTTTCCCCTGCTTCCCCCAGTCACTTTGGTTGTTCTTTTATGCTCCTTCAAARAAGAAGTTATCTGGCACCCAAAGATCCCAATTAGCTGAATTTACTAGAGAAGGGAAGCACTTAAAACCATTATATGGAGCATAAAACAAACCCACAATAAAACACATTAAAAACAGCATTCAAGAACAGCAGAAGAAGCCCACACCCAGCACATCTTGGGGACACAGCTGATAATACAAACCAATGGCCAAGCACCAAGCTGATAGGACACAAGTCTGTATGAAGGCAAGCAGGGGGCTGCCCAATCCACTGGTTTATTTTACCACTGCCCCTTTGGAAGTTAAGGCTTTGGAGCCCATTTCAGTCATGTGCACAGGGTTATCCCACAAACACAGGCACCTCACAGGTGCTCCAGTCCTGACAGCYCAAAGCTGCAGCCTCCCCCTAAGCAGAGCCACCACCGCGTGCACTAATGCACAAGCAGCATTTGCAGCAGCCTTATTCAGGTATTTTCATAGAGTAAAAATCTTTCTGGCAGCAGGAAGTTAAGACTGAATGCAAGCCACAGGCCAGTGTGACATGAACCATGAATTTTCAACTTCCAGCACTGCAGGAAGGCACCTCAGTGCCATCATAGCACCACAAAACAGCTGTCTGAAGCCCCCAAAAAGGTCGACAAGGGGTAGACACCAGCAGGAACCACTGAAGCCACACAAATGGAGAAGCTTGCTAGAACATCAGAGGTGCTGCTGAAGCCAAGGAAAAGCTTCACCAGCAGTAAGAGCTTCATAAGGTTTAGCAGAAACCAAGTAGTGCAGTCACAAGGCTGTATTTATACCACAGAGAACAGCATATGCCAGAAGGCTACACAGAGCTTTTGCTCAAACCCAGAGGCCAGAACTTTGACACGGGGCCTCTACCTACCACATTGTGTCTGTTGCTGGATATACTTAAAGATACACAAGAAGCTTGCCATATTGACAGGCTGGAGAGGTCAGCAAGYGGGAGAAGAGGGGAAATTTGCCCTAATACTTACAGTTATTTCATAACCATTAAAAATAATTAAAACAGCAACAAAAAAAAAAAAAGTGAAGGGCACAGTGGTGGTCTGAGACACTACCTAAGCACATTGTGCAATGAAACCACCTGAGAAGTTTTCAGGTAACCGCCAAGGTGCSTGACCTTGGCTGCAAATATAGGGCAACTTGGCAGCCGCCCCCGAGCCTGCTGCAGCACAAAGCCACCCATCCTGCTCCCCTCTTAAAGAAAAGGGGGCCAAAGGCACCGCCACCCCCCCACACCTGCAGCTGCTTTCTCGAAACACCACCGAGCGTTATKTGACTCGCCTGGGTGGCGGCAGGAGGAGGAGGAGGAGAAAGGCAGGGTGCACAAGATACACATATTTTTCAGACGAGGAGAGAGGTGCCCAGCCCTGACCCAGGGCAGGGAGCGCTCCCCGGGAGCGCCGTTCCACGCTGGCCCAACGTTTCTACGCCTAAGAACACGTTTTAGCGGGTGCACAAGCGGAGGGGGGGTTCATAAAACCGCGGAATTTCGCCTGCCCCCCCGCTCCCGCGCAGCGCCCCAAGATGGTGGGCGCGCGCCGCCGCCCCCCGCCCCGCGGAGAAAAACCCGAGGGAAACGCGTTAAAGCAAGCAAAAATGAACAATAAATTAAATCGCTAGCTAAGGAGCGCGGCGGCGCGCGCGCGGCGAGACAAAGGGCGGCGGTTGGCGGCCGTTGGCGGCCGTTGGCGGCGCGGCACGTGCGCGGCGGCGCCGGGCTCACCTCGTCCTCCCGCTCGCTGCGGAAGCACAGGCACGCCGCCCGCTTCTTGTAGCCCTCCCGGTCGTACGTGCGCGTCTGGTTCGGCTTAAATTTCATCATAGAGGCGGTGACAGCCCCGGCCGCCGCTGCCGCCGCCGCCGCTCCGGCTCTCCCGGTGGAGCAGCCAGGCCAGCCCGGCGCCCGTCACAGCCGCGCCGCGCCGCCGCGCCCGCCCCACGAGCGCGGCGCCATGGAGGAGAGCGGAGCGAGGAAGGGAGGCTGCCGCTGGTGGTGCTGCCGGTGG